TGCCCTGACCCGACAGGGCTGAGCATCAGATTGCAACTGGAGTTTAAAAGTAGCCTCTTTGCTTGCTGAACAGAGCAGAGGAAACCCTTGGAAATTCCTACAGCTCTCTGAAGAAGTTCAAAGCTGTTAAACCAGGATCTAGTCTCTGGTCTGATTTTTCTCAATATCTCATCTAGCACATTCTTTGGTGCAGTGACCGCAGGGAAAGGCTGCTGGGGAATTTCTCATCATGCAGACTAAAATAGCACATGCAACCCACTGTCTTTCTCTCTCTGTTTCAGTCCCAGCCATGCCATCCCTCTTTATTAAAGTCATTAACAGCACCGCCGTCCAGGCTACGTGGGAGCCCTCCATCAAACTGGGCCAGCACGAAGGCTTCAAGCTGTATTACCGCAAGGTCCACCTCTCCCAGTACACAGGTCCGGTGCTACTGCCCAGCAACGTAACAGCGTACAACATTACCCACCTGGGTGAGTATGGTGACAGCTTGATCCGCGTCCCCTCCCGACCGCGGGAGGGTCTGTCGTGATTAGCAGGAGGGAGCTCGGATGTGTTGCACAGCCATTAAATGGGAGATGCTGCAGCTGTCCCCCAGGTTTTTGGGGTGCTTTCCCAGTAACAGGTACTTGTTTGCAGCATCTTGTGTGTATTTGGCAAGAGGTGCGTTTCCTAAATAAGCATCACTTGGGGAGATAACGCTAATGATTAAACCTGAAATGCCCTTCTTGTGTCTCCTTTGAAACAGATGCGTCGGTGGTGTATGAAGTCAAGCTCCTCGCCTATAACCAGCACGGGGATGGAAATTCAACTGTCCGCTTCGTGTCTTTGAGGGAAAGTGTGGAGAGGACAGGTGAGATGGGACGTCGGTCTCGGTGGCGGTTTGTGAAAGCCGCTTTACAGGAAGGTGGCGAGGCCAGACACATCCCCCAGACACCGGCAGCTCTAACTCCAGTCTCACCTTCTCATTTATTTCAGCCACTCATTTATTTGCAGCATCACAAATAATGATGAAGCAAAACTCTGCCGGGCTGGGACCCCCTGATGCTGGTGGGGGTGACTTCTCTGCCACATGGCTTGCACCATCCCCGTTGGCCAGTCCAACCTGATGCCTTTTTTACTAAGGTGGAGAAGTCAACCCAAATGTTCCTGGAATTGGTAGTTTTGTCCCTTAAGCTCAAGTCAGAGGCGAGGTCATGAACATGAACAAACCCCACCATGCATAAGCTAAGAGCTGCCATCCTTGGGTGAGACGTGGTGCACCGAGCATCTCTGCTGTCCTGGATATTTTGACCTCTGCTGGTGTCAGCAAGGGAGGAGACGTGGCTTTGGAAAGGAGAAGAGCTGCAGAGCATGAGCACTGCATTCTGTGGTAGAAAAGGGGAAATCTCTAGAGGGAATCTCTAACTGATCACACCTTTCATATTCATCTATGTGTAAAAAACCATCCTGCTGCTCTTGGAAACCTTTTAAGCCTTCCAGTGGGAATATCTTCAAGAGAGAGTTATTGCTCCTCTGTGTTGGAGTAAATACTAATCTCGTCGGCATCTGCCTACTCGGTGCTTTCCATCAGGTATCAGCCTGCTCTCTGGGTGCTGGCTGCCTCTCACCTCCCACCTCGGACACAGGGATTGCAAAAATTAACATCAGAGTCTTCTTTTTGTTCATTACTTTTTTCTGATGACCGCAGCCTGGGTAATGGGGCTGGCTCTCTACAGACCTTCCAGCCCTATGCTTGCTGTGACCCCCATACCAGGAGCAGGGGAACTGCTTTGGCAGGCAGTGACCCCAGCCCAGCCCCCCCACCCCGCTCTCCTCTTCCCCGTACGGGGCTCCCAGCACCGCCCAAGCTCCAGCTTTTGCTCTGGGCTCCCCAAAAGCTGGAGGAGCAATAGGAAAACCACTGACCACCCCCCTCCCCCTTTCTTCTGGCAGTGTTAAATCCCCCTTGTGACTGCACGAAGGACGAGCAGAACAATAAAACCTCCACGACCGGCATCATCATTGGGATCCACATCGGCGTCACCTGCATCATATTCTGCGTCCTCTTCCTCATGTTTGGTTACAGAGGAAGGTAAGGATTGCTCGCGCTGCTGCCCACGAGGGATGGTGGTCCCTAATGCCGTGTGGGTATCCCTGTGAGGGGTCTCACACCCCCAGTGTGATGACAGACTGTTCCCCGTGCACATCTCAGGACCCGTGAACGCCGGGTGCTGTTTGCAGCACAGCTTCGGCCTCCCTCCCAGGCACGCAGCCCCAGCGGGCTGCTCTGAATGCACCCCATTAGCTCTGGGCCCCATCGAGGGTCCTGGCACCTCCCGGGAGCATCACTATTTCTGCTCTGACATGCCTTGACCCTCCCTGTGGAGCAAAAGCCCTTTCATGGCAAGGGGAAGAGATGTGACATTATAGGAGGGATTTAAGGAGTGAAGGAATGTAGCATGGGGAAAAGGCAGATTCAGGCTTGGGGGAAAGAAGTGTCAGGAGGCACCGGCCTTGCTCACCCTCAGGTTCTGTCTCTTTTATTTTTCAGGCTGCTGATGTGCAAAAATGTGCAGGAGCAACTGTCGACCCCGCAGATCCCCAGGAGCCAGCGAAACGCCACAGGCCTCGTCCTGAACGGGGCCGCTCGCAGGGACAGGGACGACCGGGACTTGAATGGAAAGCAGCTGGATATGAATGAGCTGGAGAGGTTATTCCCAGCATCCCCATCCCAGGAGCAGCAGGATAAGGGAATAACGGTAAGTCCAGGGTGATGGGAGCAAGCCTGGGAAATGCCGACGCGGCTGCGTGTCTAAGAGCATCGGTGATCTGCCGCCATCATTGCATTGTCCCCTTTTGTCTCTCTCCAGTCGGCGCACAGCCCGCCAGCCCCCCATGAT